CTTTATTTAGTCACTTATTGATATGACTGAATATTATACTCTTTGTATATTCATCCAGTGATGTGAATAAAACTGTTTGTAGTTATGGTCCTGGATTTTTATTCATTTGCCCATATTTATTGTTCATTATCCATTCATTATCTTTTTAACAAACATTTACCGAGTGTTTACTGCAGTAGTTTTTAATCTTGGCTGCAAATCAGAATCCTCTTTGAATCTTTTTTAAAGTACTGATTCCTGTGTAATAAACCCCTGAAACTGATTCAATTGATGTGGACTTCAGCCAGGCATCTTTATTTTTTCAAAAGCCCCACAGGTGACTCTGACGTACAGTCAGGATTAACGATCAGAAGTGTCCCTATTGAGCAGGAGGAATATAGGAGTTAACATGAAATAATTCCTGTTCACAAGGAGATTGGAGTCGAGTAAGACAGACAAGTAAACTAGTAATTATAGTAGTGCGATAAGTGCTACATGAAGGGTAAGCACACCTCTTCCAATTTAGAACTAACATACATTGGCTTGGTGTTAAGTGAATCCATTGATGGGCTATAAAATAGAAAAAGGAGATTTTCTCTCAGTACCAAACCAAACGACCCAGATTGTGCTTGAGTCCATATTTTCTGTCTTACCTGCTCTATGCCTTAATCAAATGAATTAGCCATACAAGACTCTGTGATTAAACTCAGGAAATGGAAAAACAAAGAGACCAGTTTCTATTTCTGATAACAGGATATGGGAGATGAGAAAGCAGTGAAGAAGGATTGCAAAACAGCCAGCTCCTCAGAGTTAGAGAGCAGGTATCGCTAATATTTTTCTTCCTATGGCCTAAATTACAGTCCAGCTCATAGGTAGACCTTGGTTCTAATATAGTTTTTGAATCTTTTTCTGATTATTTGTAGGCAACTATTCCTACCTAGTCTTTGCATACTTAAGAGGACTCTGTAGCAGAGTTGCTTTCTGACTAGTGACTCTCGCAAGGAAATCACTTTTTGCTACCTCAGAAGCACAGGACATTTATTGATTGTCTTTACACTTTCCAATTCAGACAAAGAACCTTGTTTAATTCTTGTTAGTAAGATTGTCTTTTCTTATATTTTTGTCTGTTTGTAACGTTAACAGTTGATGTTTTGTTTTTACTGTTTTAATTTCTGTTACCATATGGTATTTTATACACTTTTGTTTCATTTTTATTTCATTTTACACAATCTGCATATCAGCCTCTCTTCCCATAATTACAGACACAAAAGCTCCAGTATAAAGGGAGAGAGGATATAGTGTCTTTGATCCCCAGAGCAGCACTAAAAAGTTCCACAAGACCACACATTGCCCATTGCAGTCCCTTGTCTTCTCCCTAAAAGTGCAACTTGGGGAGGCTGACAGGACCACTCCTAGAAATCCTTCTCAGGAAACCCAGTGGACATAGTCCAGGTTAGAATTCCCTATGCAGAAGTAAATGCCAGAAGGAAAGCTTCATGAAATCTAGTTATCCTGTTATCTTCAGGATCATCCATTCCTAAATATAAATGAAAGCTCTTATTTTCTTTCTCCTTGATCTGATATTGACAAGGCCTAATTAGACCTTATAAAGACAAGCTTATCTGGTTACATTGGTGTTAATTTGTGAGCTCCAGATTCATATGTAGGGTGAATGCACTTAATGTGAACATGAATTATATAAACTTGAGGTTGCATAATATAAAATATTAATAAAGTCACTTTATCTGAATACTTTGAAATAAAAACAGATTTCTTCAATTAAAATAATTAGGAATCTCGTAGTTCTATATCTAGCTGGCTACATGAATTGTAAACTATAATTATGATACAGGAAGATGCCATTTTAGCTGATAAACAAAAATGCCTACCATATTTTTTCATATCAAGTGAACCAATGCTGTTTATATAGAACTTCTATGGAGCTTTAGGGCTTCTGTCATCGTTCAGTTGGTAAGGAATCCGCCTGCAATGCAGGAGACCCCGGTTTGATTCCTGGGTCAGGAAGATTCCCTGGAGAAAGGATAGGCTACCCATTCCAGTATTCTGGCCTGGAGAATTCAAAGATTCAGATACGACTGAACGACTTTCATTTTCACTTTCATGGAGATTTCAGACATTACTTCATTATTTTAGCATTTCCTATTTTTATTAGCTTTCAAAAATATATCTAATGATAATATCAACAAAGTATTAAGCTTTCTCCTTTTCTATATTTCATATACTTAGTTCACACATATCTAGGCATGGTTAATTCAGTGGGCTGTGTTAAAAAACCACATCCTCAAATATATATCTTTAAAATGTGATAAAATACAGGGAAATCTAAGCAGTTACCATGTTGAGCCATAGTTTAATTTCTACAAAGTATTAGAGATGCCAATAAAAAAAAAAAAAAAAACCTTAAGCCTTAAAGCAGAAATATCCTACAGTATTTATTGATCCATGTGTTCCATGAATGGTTGCCTCCTATTTTACATTAAAATCCATGTACATTAAAATATATTTTGATTACATTTCCCCTTTGAAAAAATTAGTGTTGAATTAGGCAAGGTTTGAATCACTTAAGGTCTTCAGGAATGCAGCCTTCCTGAAGCATTCTCTAAGTTCAAGTTCTAAATCATGCATGTTTGTTCAGATTGTTCAGATCCTTAGAATGTTTTGAAACACATTGCCCAGTGACTAAAACTCTTTCCCTGGAAAATGGAGAAATTGAATATCAAAGGGAAAGAAGTTGAACTCCCTCCTCAACTTTGACTTTTGTTTCTGAGAGACTTGGTTGTTGGAAGATAAATTCCCTAGTGTCAAATGTTTTCTAGCCTTTCAATGAAGTAGATTTTGTTGAGGGAAAGTGAACATATAACATTGATTTGGTTAATGTCAGATGCCCAGGTTCTCAGCTGTGAGATACATATAAAATATTATTTGTCCCCTCTCTAATCCAGTTTCCTAAAATGATTAATCAGATGTGTCTTAATGCACTTTATTACCAGAGTTACAGATTACTAAAATGTGTACTATTATTAAGTTGTGAGATTCCCTTATATGTGAATAAGAGTTTTGTCAGATGTATATTTTATGGTTTTAGTATTTGCTGTTAGGTTCATGATCCATTTTGAATTAAGTTTCGTGTATGGTGAGGTGTAAGGGTTGAAGTTCATTTTATTTTGTACATATAATCACTTTCATTGAAAATCTGTTCTTTCTGCATTGAATTAACTTGACCTTTGGTCAAAATACAATTGCATATATAAATGTGGGTCATTTTTCTGAGAGGTATAAAATTTTGAAACTATGTTATTTGGTGCATATGCTTTTGTAATTGTATCTTCCTGCTGCCTGGATTATTTTTTCTATAGGAAATGTTTATTTTGGGGTCTAGCAATTCTCCCTGGTGGCTCAGATGGTAAAGAATCTGCCTGCAATGCGGGAGACTTGGGTTTGATCCTTGGGTTGGGAAGATCCCCTGGAGGAGGGCATGGCAACCCACTCCAGTATCCTTGCCTGGAGAATCCCCATAGACAGAGGAGCCTGGTGGGCTGCATTCCATGGGGTCACCAAGGGTCAGACTAGTGACACAGCCTAGTGTCCTTCATGCCCAGACACAACTGAGCAGCTAAGCACAGCACAGCAGTTCTCCGCTTTAGAAGCCTATTTGTCTAATGGTTCTGTGGTCTCTCAGGGCTTTCTTCTGATTACTCTCTACATGATATGCTTTCTAGTTATTTGCTTATTTTTATTTGTATTTTTAAATTTAATGTACTTTTCTATAATGTATAATTATGTAATTAATTAGGTATGATGTATAATTAGATCTTGACAATGACACTGTATAGTTAGGTCTTGCTAGTTCTCAGTAACATAGTCTCTACATTTTTACTGATGTTTAGTACATTTATGTTTAATGTGATTATTTTTATATTTGGATATATTGTCTTCCATTTTTCCTATTTGTTTTCTCTTTGTCTCATTTTTATTTTCCTGTTTTTCTCCCTTCTTTTATGTTAAAATATGTTGTGGATTATTTTTATTCTCAATTTATTGGCTTTATTTCTTTGCATTGTTTTTATTGAGTATTTTAGAGACCACAGTATGCAACTTTAAATTCCCATAAAATACAAGAACCTTGTAATAGTGTAGTTTCATTTATGCACTCTTATCCTTTGTGCTACTGTCATGTACAGTATATCTTTATATCTATATTATAAACCCGAGAATATTGTTATAATTTTACTTAGAGTCCTGACTTTTAAGGAAATTAAGAATGATGGAAAGATAGTCCTGTCTTGTGAGAAATTAAACATATTTCTTATCTTCATATATCACTCATATTTTTATTGTCTTCTCTCTATCCAGGTTATCACCTGATGTTATTTTACTTCAGACTGAAGTATTGGCTTTTGCATTTCTTGAATTTAAAGCTATTAGCAATGAACTCTCTCATTTTTAAAATTAATTTGAAATGTCTTTGAACCTTTAATTTTGAAAAATGGTTTTAAAATAGCTTTCTTGGAAGATAGCTTTTTTTTTTTCCTCAACAGTTTGAGTTTTATTCCAGTATTTTGTTGTTGTTGTTTTATTCAAAGTTTTTCTTACTATCTTCAGCTTGTAGTAGTTTTATTATGATGTGTCTACATGCAGTTTTCTGTGTTTATTCTATTTGAGATCACTGAACTTTTTTAGCTGAGAGTTAACCTTTTTCATCAAAGTTAGCAAGTTTTTCATTATTATTTCTTCAAATATTTGTTCAACCTTTTGTCTTTCTCTATTCTTGTTTGACTCCAGTTAGCCTTAAGAGTTCTGAAAGATGTTACTGACACAATAGTTTTAAACTTTGATGGAATGCTTGGAAAGAAAATGGAGAAATATGGATGAAATGACACAATTTTCTAAGGAAACGGTTCCTTAAATATATATAAAACACAACCCAGTAAATTTACAGTGGAAAATATTAATGTGACCCATTTGTCCTCTTTTCCTGTTTTTACAAAATCTGTCTGTAGGTGCATTTCCTCCCTCTGCTCTTTATGCGCGAAAAGATTTGCTACAGCGATCTACCCATATTGCTACAAAGACTTTTCAAGCTTTTCGCATATTTGTGAACAATGAGCTCAATGAACTTTACACAGGACTGGAGACAGCTCAGAAGTTTCTGAGACCTGGTGGTCACCTCGTTGCCCTCTCCTTCCATTCACTGGAGGATCGCATCATCAAACGATTCCTGCTTGGGATAAGCATGACAGAAAGGTTTAACCTAAGTGCTAGACAGAAAGTGATACAAAAATCACAGTTGGATTCAGATCAGGAAAACAAGAAACACGTCTCTATAGGAAAGGCCTCTTTAACGTGGAAACTGATGCACAAGAAGGTACTTACTCCAGAAGATAAAGATGTACAGGATAACCCCAGAGGACGCTCCGCCAAGCTTAGAGCAGCTATCAAATTATGAGAACGTTTTCATCATCTAATCCTTCAAGATTTTCCTCACAGTTTCTCATGTGATATTCCTGGACAACCTAATATAAGAAAGTGTGGGGTATATAAAGCTGTATAATTATATATGTGTGGATCTAGAGGGTATCTAGCTTTTTTTTTCCCTCAAAGAGAAAATGTAAGAAATATTAGCATGACGCAGAAAGCTCAATTCAAGGAGCAGCGGTGCCTCAAAACGGAAAGCACGTTCATCGCAGCGATATGCTTGACTTTTGGAATGCTTAGATTCTGGCTAAATATCTGCTTCAATCAGGAAACTTCTTAAAAGAAGAAGAGGGGAATATGTGTATGTAAAATCAAGTTGTCAAAAGAGAGATTTTAATTATATCTGCATGCCCAGATTCTGAATTTAGATATTCAGATTTGCAACAGACTGTCTATGCTTCAAATAGTTAATAATGATCATGGAATTTATTTTAATTTTTCTCTTGGAAACAGCGTTCTCAAATACAGGTATTACAATTTTAAAAATGCATTACCCTGATAAATTTAAATTCTGAATTATAGTGTTCATTGTTTTAAAGAGATTTTTCCCTATGATATGTGCCATGTTTTCATATATTGCAAACTAAAAATATAGAATTGCTCTAATAGCCTTCCCAGAGGATGTTTCATAAAACTTATATTTGAATTCAGTTGTATTTATTATAGTAATAGCCCAGAATGCTTTTGATAAATAGTGAAATCTCTTATCATTTGAATCCTGCATTTTTAAACTGAGCTATTCAAAATAGTCAAAGTCTATTGAAATGGAAAAGTTTATCATCTATTCCAGATACTAAAATCTATGTGCTCTTAATTTTCTTATTTACAAATAATAAATAATTGTAAAATGTTTTCTCAGGAGTTCACATGGTAGAGGATTCTTTAATAAATTATAGTTGAAATTAATTCATAATTCACATAACTTTTTATACATAAGTATGCATTTCTGATTTATTCAGTTATGATGCAAGTACTGAAATAGAGAAACAAAGGTGAGTAAAATATACATAGCCCAAAGTACCAGTCCTGTGGAGATTATAGTCTAGCAAAGAAGAGTGATGGTAATTAACTAATCACAAAAATTAATACAAAATTGACGAAGTGGTAAGGGTTGTATAGAAGTAGTATGCTGTGCTGTGCTGTGTTTAGTCAGTACCATAAATACATCCAATAGGGATTTCATCTACTAAAGGAAACCAGGTCTGACAACATGGTACTTGATCTATGACTCAAAGAATGAATGAGTCAAAGGATACATGGGCATGTATCCTTTAACCCCATATATCTGTGTCCTTATAAGAAGAGAAGAAAGACAGAGACACAAGGGAGAATGCCACATGAAGACAAAAGCAGAGACTGAAGTGATGTATCTACAAGCAAGGGAACACCAGGAACTGCTGGCAACCATAAGAAGCTAAGAGAGAAGCATGAAGTAGACTCTCCCTCAGGAACTTTAGTAGGTATTAATAGCTGCTGAAACCTTGGTTTCAGACTTCCAACCTCCAGAACAGTTAGAGAATAGAGTTCTGCTGTCTTCTGCTGTCCAATCTGTGGTGGTTTATCATGGCACCCTTAAGAGACTAGTACTCTGACCCCTCCCCCCCAAAAAATCTTGAATAATATGCATGAAAAAAATCCTGCTTCAATAAACACAAAATCGGCTTCAAAATACTATAGTGTGAAAACACATTATCTATTTTTTATAATTAGGCTCTTTGCGACAATCATTCTTACCTTCCTCTTAGTCTTAGTTGTAGGATGAATAATCAAATACATGAATGAGTTTCAAATAATTAACACTGGAGAATGGTTTTGGGGAATTTATACAGTACATGTAGAAAATAAAACAGATTATTAAAATGAATGTACATTGCTTTTCCAATAAAATATAAATTATATAAAACAAGCAATTGTTTTGCATTTCTGAATCTTTCTATTGACTGCTTCTGCCAGTCATTTTATATAACATAGATCCCATTGTGTAGGACATCAATTCTTAACAGTTTTAATAATTGCTCATTAAGAAATGAAATTTAATAACTACATACAATTTTTAGCTGATACTCCGATTTTGTATGTTCATTTTGTTTTGACAATTATATGTTGGTTATTATGTAATCTTTGAAATTTCTAGGTTAATTCCAGGGGAAGACAGTAATAATATCTATTTTTTTCTATTTCATGTAATATTTTCATGTGATATATGGTTTGTGCTTAAATTCATTTATATTGAGCTATTTATTATATTACAACCAATAATTTATAAGAAAATACAGTATGCCTCACTAGGTTTTTGAGGTTAACTGAAACCTCTTAAAATTAACTTGTAAATATTTGAAAATCGTATTTTCTTTAGTCTTTGCAGAGTGTTACATATCTTCAGAGGTTTATAAAATTCTTTCTAATTTTTGTTTTTAAATAAGAAGCATAAGTAATAATGAATTTATACTGTAGATTTTTTAAATAAAATTTAAACTTCATTTGAAATCTTATTCAAAAAGTATGAGTCAGTACTTAATGGAAAATTCAAAAGGTACAAAAGATAGAAAATTTATATTAGCACTTTCATTTGGTTATAAAAGATGAATGTATATATATTTATTCAATAAATATATATTAAAGCCTGACCTTTTAGGAAGAAATCAAAAACTCCTCTCTCACTTCTTTCTTTTTATACTCCTTCCCTTTCCCTTTCTCTGTTCAGATGTGAATTTCTTATGCCAGCAGCTACTGCTGCTAAGTCGCTTCAGTCGTGTCTGACTCTGCGACCCCATAGACGGCAGCCCACCAGGCTCCTCTGTCCTTGGGATTCTCCAGGCAAGGACACTGGATTGGGTTGCCATTTCCTTCTCCAATGCATGAAAGTGAAAAGTGAAAGTAAAGCTGCTCAGTGGCGTCTGACTCTTCGAGACCCCATGGACTGTAGCCCACCAGGCTCCTCTGTCCATGGGATTCTCCAGGCAAGAGTACTGGAGTGGGTCACCAGCAGAGATGACATTAATTTATATTTCACATTTACTCTGGGAAAAGAAGTATTATGCAATATTAGTATGTACTCTCACAAACTAAGCTCTACATGTTAGATTATTAGTAATGGGTAAGACAACTAAAAATTGCTTCTAGTTAAACTTCTCTAATTTTTATTTTAATATACCTGTTTTTCTATTGTGTTTTTGTGATTGCTGCGTATTCTAATAGATTGTGTGTGTGTGTTAGTAACAGTCTATAATAGAAAGAGATAAGCATTAAAATGTAAAGGGAATTTTGTGAGGTGCTTGATAAATACGAATTTAATGACAGAAATCCTCATCAGAGATATATTTTTCTCAGAACCACAATGCCATATGTTCAATGTTGAATGAAGTATGGTTTGTAAAAATCAGCATCATATTCTAAAGAAACTAGATTGTATAACAAGCATAACTATTTTTATATTATTTTCTCAAATTTCATCTGTTTATTGCTACTATTCCCAACTAATGTTTGGTAACACACAGCATGATCTGCAGGAACGCTAAGAGATAGTTTAAATATAAATTTTTTAAAGTCTTGTTACAGCCTAAACTTTCAGAAACATTAAATGTTCAATAGAATTAATTAATGCAAATGCAATGGTGATAGTTCACTATACTGTCATTTAGATGGACCTTAAAATTCTTCACAAAGATTTTGACCACCTTACTCTCCTTCTCAGATAATTTACAAAGTAAAGAAAAAAGTGTAACTCTGATATGCAGACAATAAGTTTGCCTTTTTGGTAATGTCACAACTCCTTAGGCAATTCTTTATCTTAAACACGAGGCATTTAAGTACAAATTTTCTACCATTAGCATATGCCCTATTAAATATATCACTGCCCAGATGCTAGAATACAAAGCAGAAGTCAAACAAGAGGACATGCTCCATTTCTGATTCTTGAGTTATAGGTTCTCTTCATTAAGCTCCATCTTTATGCCTGGCCAGTAATACTTGTCTGCCTTACACAAGGTAAGGATTTATATTGTTAAACAGTCAAACGGTATGGTTCTTCATTATTTCACAAGGAAAAGCATTATCATCCAACTCTTAGAAATGCTAAATTGAGGAGAAGTCTATATAGCCTTGTAAATAAAACCGTTGGCTTTGGAGTCAGAAAAAATGAGTTTAAATTCCAGGTCTGCATATATTAGCTGGATATGCAAACTGGGCATGCTCTTTAATATCCTTAATCCTCATTTCTTTCACTTTAAAGAGTGGACAGTATTGGGACTTCCTCATCAGATTGCTATGAATCGAATAGAAAATAATAAATATTTATGAGTTAAAAGTCATAATTACCAAAATATAACACATTTCTGGGCACTGTGGCTAAGGAAATATATACTTTATTCCTAGTGGTTTTAAATGAAGCCTGTGCATCACAAGCAGAAGTTGATTGGGTTTATAGTCAGTTTTATTATGGGGAAATTTTATTCCTATTTATTATTTATTTAACACCCCCAGTATTTGCTATAGTTTGACAAGGCATAATAAAACACACAGTCTTTGCCCTTGTGGAGTTTCCATTTGTAAGAAAACAAACTGGGAAGAAAAGAACCAGTTATTTGACATTCATTTAGGTTGGAAAATGTTATTTGTCCTCCTACACTTCCATATCAGTAAGTGCCTGAAACTAAGTGGTCCTTGTAGTAAGATTCTCCAAAATACATTTTGAGGGGGGAAAGGAAATGAGTATTTTATGAGATAAGAGATGGAAGATTTCTATAGGAGTGTTTTAAAAGTTTCCTATTTCTGCACTCTAAAGTCAGTGCAGAGAAACTACAGGACCAATAAAGTGTGTAAGTTGCAGGTTTTGAAAGGGAAAATAACATGAAAGGTAAATGGACAGTTCACACTTAGGATGAGCTAATGATCTCTTTTACAGCGCCACGGAAAGGTATGTTATTGAAACAGGATCCATATAATCCCCACACCCTTACCTTCATCTCAGAG